CCTGGTGCATGGCAGTCACGCTGGCTGCCCACACCAGCACTGCCATCCAGAGCCTCTGTCACAGACAGATGCTAGAAGTTCATCATGATGTGGATTTTACCTTTTTTTCACTGCCCTCCTTTTAAAAATGGAAATGTAACTAAAACAAAAGCAAGTGCTTATCCCCACACTGCTCCACAGACACTTTCCTGAAAGGTTGTTTATTCTAGTATGTGAAAAACTATTAGAGAAGAGGCTTCATTTTTAGAAAACTATCTCAAGTCAGTATTCTTTTAATTGCAGCTGGTAGCCAAGGCAAGGGAAATCATACATTTCACTGGCTGTTCCCAGCTGCACAGCCATTGACATATTACAATAGTCTGATAAATGCAAGGGGGAAAATACTTTAGCATTCCAGTTTCAATAAAGCTTTCTTAAAAAAAGAAAGTTTCACCCTAAGTTCACGCCAGTGTCTTTTTTTTTTTTTTTTCCAAAGTCAGGGTTGACAAATTCCCCTCCATCCTGCCTACAGGGAAGAGAGCAGGGCTGGGCTGTGGGGCAGGACCTGCTTCCAGGAGCTGAAAAGTTGTGCCTAAATATTGATGTTTCAAGAGAACTCATTATTTGCCTAGAGAATCACAGTGGGGAAGCAAAAGCACGGTTTTAGGCCTTTTTATTAACAATGGATGATTTGGAAACAGTGATGAGCAAATCCTAAATTTCTCAAAGCTACTTGATTTGGGGCTCAGATTTCCTGATAACTTGTTAGGATTTGGGCTTCCAAGACAGGTGTTCAGCATTTCTAACTCCCTGCCCCCCCTAGGAGACATCAAACCGAGCATTAAACTCCCGCAGCCTTGAAAGTTCAAGTCAAGGTGGTTTTTGTTTTGCCTTTCACCCCAAAGGTCAGTTGAGGATTGAATCCTTTTGTCAAGGTTGGCTGGAGAGCAGGAGGCTCCGTTAATCCATAGGCACCATGGCTCCCTCCTAGCTTCCTTCCCTCACAGTTTGTTTTGCTTCAGGATTCACCCCCTGGGATTGTAAAGGCTGCAGACAAGGGTTAGAGGTGAAACAAAGTAAACGAGGTCGGTTGTTTATTTAAAGGGAGCCAGAATTAATAATGTTGGAGACACTGGGCCTCTCCCAAGAGATAACCATAATTTTACAGCACCTCTCCACAACTTTTTTTTTTCCCCCAGAAATAAAATACAGTGACAGATCCAAAATCCCATTTCCCAGAGTAACTCCTAGAACCAAAACAAGAAAGAGTTCTTTCCTACAAAATGACCAGCCACTGGAACAAACAAACACACTTCCATTGACCTCCATGTGGGAAAGCATCCGAAAAAAAGAAATAAGACAACTTTGCCTCCTTCAGAGACCTTCCTCTTATATTCACTTGACTTGTGCCATATTATGGAGGCCTTTTTTGGACCATAGATGTTTTTTCCTTGGGAAATAATCTTTTTATCCCCCTCCTTTTCAATGAGAAGGCCAAATTTTGCTTTCATTTATTCGCTGAGGAACCCCACTGATCAGGAGCTAATACACACATCGCATCCCAGAGGGGCAGCCTGGCAATATATTTCCGTTATACCTTTTTTTAACAATCACAGCAGCAGCAATGAAAGGTACAGATGCATCCATTACACCTAAGGATAAACCTTACTCCTTCCCCAGGCTTTTCTGGGTGTTTGCCTTTCTGAGCAGCATCCACTTGCAATGCAATCGCTGGATTTACAACCAAGCAAGTGGTTGTACAACAAAAACTGGATTCCAGGGTCCTGATAAGAGAAGGTAAGCCATACTGCGACCAGAGCTTGGTCAGTCACCGGACCGCTAATCTGGGGTGAATCTGCTGGCGTCAGTGGCTTTACATTAAACACACACTGGGGTGAAAAATGAGTCGCAGCTCTACTCCGGCAGCCCAGCTCCAGCGCTCTGCTACCAGAAGCGGCTGCTTACTTTCAAGCTCTCTGCACAGCCTGTAATCACCCAATATTGAAACCAGATTTACAAGCTCTTTAGAGGAGGAGAAGTTTGTTATTTCCAAAGCAGACGCATTTGGTATTTCAGTAAAAGGTCAAGCCCCCTGTGGAGTAAGGGGGTTTTAATAGAATCAGTTCAGCAG